ACGGCCACTTGGTCTCCAGCTTGAGCAGAGGGTACAAGAGCTCCAAGGTCTCTACCAGCTCTATTCAGATTGAAGCAGAAGCTTAGAATGGAAGATCTCCAAAGTCACTTCTGACCTGTTGCTCTGTTGGTTCTGGTACTTCTTGTTTTAAATAAGAGGTGTGTGAAATATGGGTTTGATCCCTTCCAACCAGGGGTGAAATCCAACAGGTTCTGACAGGTTCTGGAGAACCGGCAGTGGAAATTTTGAGTAGTTTGGAGAACCGGCAAATACTACCTCTGGCTGGCTCCCAAGTGGGGTGGGAATGGGGATTTTGCAGTATCCTTCCCCTGGAATGGGGTGGGAATGGAGATTTTGCAGTGTCCTTCGCCTGGAATGGGGTGGGAATGGAGATTTTGCAGTATCCTTCCCCTGCCACGCCCATCAAACCATGCCCACCAAGCCACACCATGCCCAAGCCATACCCACAGAACTGGTAGTAAAAAAAATTGCATTTCACCACTGCTTCCAACTCGTTATTTTGTTAATTAATCAGTGGAACAGCTTGCCTTCAGAAGTGCTCCATCACTGGAGGCTTTCAAAAAGAGACCGGACAGCCATTTCTCTGGGATGATCTAGGCTAGGGGGTCTCCTGTTTGAGCAAGGGGTTGGACTAAATGACCTCCAAGGTCCTTTCCAACTCTCGTTAATCTTTACTCCGCATTCTGAATTAACTCAGCCAAGGAGATGGATCTCCATCTCAGGCGGAAAGAACAAAGGGAGTCAACGAGCTTTTCTGGGAGTTGATGTCCCAGCATCTTCAAGTTGTTGAGCTTGAAAAACGCTGCTCTAGAGAATTGCACACAGTATGTGCTTATTGTGTGGATGTGTCATACAAACCCAAAAAATGGGTTAGGGAAGTAATCATTATTACAATTAGCCCAATAAGCATTTATGCAAATACAACCTCAGACAGTTAAGTCAGCAGTCAACCAGACTTTCCTGGTTCCCAACCCAAAACATCTTAAGAGAAGATGTCCCTCAGATGGATTAGATGCCCTGGATCAGAAGAACCAAACTTCTAACTTGACATCAAGATGTTTGCTAGATCCAGACTTGTTCTCCTGCCTAGTCCTCCAGCCAAAGTGGCTTCTTGCTGCGTTCTTTTGACTCCATCTCATCATCTTGACTACTTCCTGTTGGTGACTCATCTTGGGCCCTTGAATACTGTAGAGCTGTTCACCAAATGCTCATTATATAACAAACAGCCGTCCTGGTGATTGCGTAACTGAGTTTGTTCAATCATGTATGTAAAGCACAGGGCAGGGCTCACTGCTGGAGCAGGTGGGAGGGGGAGGATTATGTAAAGCACGGAAGACTCCGGAAGGAGATAACTGAACCGGTCTGAGGGCCAAAAAGGGAGGCAGGAATGAATAGCAGCGCAGTCTACATGAATATCAGAATAGAATCTACAGCATTGTTTCTCAACTTTAGCTGTGTGGACTTCAACTCCCAGAAGCTGTGTGGACTTCAACACCCAGAATTAAAGCTGTGTGGACCAACGCTGAGTTGTGTGGACTTCAACTCCCAGAAGCTGTGTGGACTTCAACTCCCAGAAGCTGTGTGGACTTCAACACACAGAACTGAAGTTGGGTGGACTTCAGCTCCCAGATTGAACCTGTGTGGACCAACTTCCAATTGTGTAGACTTCAACTTCCAGAGTTGTGGTGGACTTCAACTCCCAGAAGCTGTGTGGACTTCAACACCCAGAATTAAAGCTGTGTGGACCAACGCTGAGTTGTGTGGACTTGAACTCCCAGAAGCTGTGTGGACTTCAACACACAGAACTGAAGTTGGGTGGACTTCAGCTCCCAGATTGAACCTGTGTGGACCAACTCCCAATTGTGTAGACTTCAACTTCCAGAGTTGTGGTGGACTTCAACTCCCTGAAGCTGTGTGGACTTCAACATCCAGAATTAAAGCTGTGTGGACCAATGCTGAGTTGTGTGGACTTCAACTCCCAGAGGACATTTGGTGGACTTCAGCTCCTAGAATTGAAGCTGTGTGGATTTCAACACCCAAATTGAAGCTCTCTGGGGGAATTCTGGGATTTGAAGTCCACCCATCTTGAAGTTGTTGAGGTTGAGGAACAATGGCCTCCAGTGTTGCAGTTGGAGACCTAGCTATGGAGTCTTCTCCAACCAACACACCTGAAAGATTGTGATGTTGAGCTCAGACCCATGGGTATCCTATTTATTTATTCCCAGACAACCCATGAGCCCCTGGGTCATCGTTTCAGAAGTATTTCCTTAACAGACTTGCCATGGGGCCATTTTCTCAAAACCTGGAAATGTGGGTTTTCAGCAAAACCCATCATAAAACACGGTCACAGAGATTGAGAATGGCCATAAATGCCAGCTGCCAGGGGATTCCGATTCTGGACGGCATCGTAGGCCTCAGCCCTCACCAGATTCAACCCAAGCCTTGCTTCTTACATCCAATCCAGGGGTGAAATCCAGCAGGTTCTGACAGGTTCTGAAGAACCGGTAGCAGAAATTTTGAGTAGTTCAGAGAACCGGCAAATACCAACTCTGGCTGGCCCCAGAGTGGGGTGGGAATGGAGATTTTGCAATATCCTTCCCCGAGTGAGGTGGGAATGGGGATTTTGCAGTTTCCTTCCCTCTGGAGGGAATGGGGATTTTGCAATGTCCTTTCCCCTGGAGTGGGGTGGGAATGGAGATTTTGCAATATCCTTCCCAGGAGTGAGGTGGGAATGGGGATTTTGCAACATCCTTTCCCCTGGAGTGGGGTGGGAATGGAGATTTTGCAATATCCTTCCCCCAGGAGTGGGGTGGGAATGGGGATTTTGCAGTTTCCTTCCCCCTGGAAGGAATGGGGATTTTGTAATATCCTTTCCCCTGGAGTGGGGTGGGAATGGAGATTTTGCAATATCCTTTCCCCAGGAGTGAGGTGGGCATGGGGATTTTGCAGTAACCTTTCCCCTGGAGGTAATGGAGATTTTGCAATATCCTTCCCCCAGGAGTGAGGTGGGCATGGGGATTTTGCAGTTTCCTTCCCCCTGGAGGGAATGGGGATTTTGCAATATCCTTTCCCCTGGAGTGGGGTGGGAATGGAGATTTTGCAATATCCTTCCCCCACGAGTGAGGTGGGAAAGGGGATTTTACAGTTTCCTTCCCCCTGGAGGGAATGGGGATTTTGAAATATCCTTTCCCCTGGAGTGGGGTGGGAATGGAGATTTTGCAATATCCTTTCCCCAGGAGTGAGGAGGGAATGGGGATTTTGCAGTAACCTTCCCCCTGGAGGGAATGGGGATTTTGCAATATCCTTTCCCCGGGAGTGGGGAGGGAATGGAGATTTTGCAGTGTCCTTCCCCTGCCACGCCCACCAAGCCACACCACGCCCACCAAGCCACGCCTACCGAACTGGTAGTAAAAAAAATTGAATTTCACCACTGATCCAATCCCCATCCAACATTTCAGAGTTGGCTGCAATGGCAAACTTGACCACTTTGCTTAAAGAAAAAAACATAAGTACCTTTGTCTCCACATGGAAACCGCTTCTGAACTTCGTGCTTGATGTGGAAAAGAATGAAACTTTGATTCTGGGTTTTACAGATTGGACTGATAGATTAGAAATGATTGGTTTATACGATTGTGGTTAACCAAAAAGTTGTGATTGTTGTTAATGCCCTATTCTACTATAACTGATCGAGTCAGAAGTCAATGCTTCTTTTTCTTTCCTTACCCTTCCTCACTTTTTTTTGCCCCTTCCCCTTCGCTCTCCCTGCCCTCTTATTTGCTTTCCTATTTTGCATTTTATAACACTTTATAACCTAATAAAATGTATTCTGGGAAAAAACCCTAACCAATCCCACTCTTTTTTTCCTCTTCTACAGTAGTGGCCAAAATTGGGGAAATCTTTTGGGAAAAGTGTATTTTTGAGGTTTGATGGCTAATAACACCACTTTTTTTTTTTTTTTGGAGTTTCAAGATAATCCTATTCCACTGCTGGAATGGCCTGGGAATAGCCCAGACCTTCACCCAATTGAAAATCTATGCAGCCGACTAAACAAACTAGTTAGTCAGAAGCCACCGAGCAATAAAACCCGATGTCAGCGTTTCAACGCTGGCATAGAGAGAGCAGAGGAGAGCGAGAGATAAACTCTGAAACTTTTGCCTGCTAAATCCCTTTGAAGTCGGGTTGTCGTGGAAATGAGGAGGGGGGCACATTCCTGGGAAATGACGAGGAAAAGAAGTCTGAAGAATGACTTGGAAGACAGCCAATAAGAAGCAGAGATTTGGGGATCGGAAAGGGAGGGATTGGGAGGCAAAAGGTCAGTGTTGTCCGCGCGGAGTCATGATCCGGTGGCTGAGCTCAATTAAAGAAAGATTTCCTTAAAGATTGGCAGTTTGGAAATTCATTTAATTTTGAGATAGCACCGCAGTCTGACACCGTTAATAGAAGCAATCCTTCGATCTTGGTTTCACATTATAACAGCTGCAGAACTAAAAGACTTGGTTCACTCCATGGGAAGACGTTGTAAGGCCATGATTCATGCTGAAGGTTACCCAACTAAGGATTAACTGACATGGGGATCATTTTTGTGTATCTTGTTTTTGCTACGGAGATCATTTTTCTATATCTCGTTTTTTCTACATGTTTCACTTTTCTTCTTTATCCTGTAACTGCTATTCTAATAGCAACTCCTTCCTAAAAGTTATTGCATTACATTCTTGATTAAATTATCTTTTCATTGATATATAGTTTTACGGTACTACTCCAAAACAACTTTTCCCAAAAGATTTCCACAATTTTGGCCACTGCTGTAATCTTCTTTTTCCTTCCAGGAAGTGGGAAAGTGGGAGGAAGAGAAGTGATGCTTGATTTGAATAGAATAGAATAACAGAGCTGGAAGGGACCTTGGAGGTACATTTGATTTCAACTCAATGAACGAAGAGACGTTTTCCAGGGTTTCTTTCTTTGACCAGAAGGCACAAAGATTGAATAAAGTCCTTTAATGGAGGCATCAGGCTCATCTGAACTGAATGCATCTTTTGGAAGGAGACTAGGATGGAAAGAGTTTCCAATCACAATGTAATAAAAAAATCTAGGAAAAATCTAAAGAAAAAAAAAGTTACGGGTGAGAAGAACCCACCCTCAGCATTTCCAAATCCAAGGAGGGCTCCAGGTGATTCTAGATGGACCATTTCTCTGTCCGAGCTTCCAACGTTTTGACCAGGCCTTCCCCCAAGATCTTGAAGTCTTCCAAAATAGCCTCCACGTTTGGAACTACGGTTGGCTGAGAACTTACTCTGGATATCATCCTTCCTTTAACATTTGATACCTGGTGGAATTAAGAGAAGAACATTAAACCAGGAGTCACCAACCTTTCGGACCTCAGGGACCACTAAATTCATAATTTTAAATCCCACAGACCACTAATATGATCTGCCGAATGACCAGCTGGGTGGGCGTGGCTATGTGGTCATGTGACTGGGTGGGCGTGGCCAACTCAATGTCACTCATGTGGAGGAGCGCCTTGCTGGTCTCTACTCTCCCCTCCCCTCCCAGGCACTCCTCGCCTCCCCGCCTGGACTCCTTAGGGCCACAACAGGAAGCAGTTGTTGGAGCTAAGCATCCACCACGAGGAAGAGTTGGCAAAACAGCTCAGTTCAAATTGGATCTGACTGAGGAGGCGGCTCAGCAGAAGCACCTCACTGAGGACTAGGAGCATAGGCTTTCCAAGCAGAGGGAAGACCTGCGGGAGTGTAAGGCCAGGTACCCGCACCTGGAGGCTCAGCGGGCTGAGATGGTCAGCCAGTTCCAGGCCATGAGGCAGTCCCACTGGAACAAGGCCCTCCGGCTCTTTGCCACCAGCGGCATTTCCTTCCAGCCTTCACCCAAAGCCCCACACCAGGAGGCCGAAGCAGACCCCTAGTCGGAATTTCTGCCCCCCACTCCAACCCACACAAAAAGACCCCGAAGTGAGAGACTCTCTGCAGCAACACAAACGTTCATTGCACGTATCCGGCCCAGGGGCCGTAGTTTGAGGACCCCTGATTTAGTGCAATGTTAAAAATGCAAATAATTTTTCTGTGGACCACCAAAATTTTCTCGCGGACTCCACCAGTGGTCCAGAGACCGCCAGTTGGTGACCACTGCATTAAATGATTGCCGATAAAATGTTGCCATCACAAGCATTTTTCATGGCATTTTAGTTATAGAAACTAAGGATCTGCTTATCCATAGGTTTATCCGCATAGACAGATAGGCCTCGACTTACAACAATTCATTTAGTGACTGCTTGAAGTTACCACGGCATTGAAAAAAGTGACATACGACTGTTTTTCCCAGTTACAAGCTTTGCGGCCTCCCGCTGGTCACATGATCAGAATATAGATGCCTGGCTGATATTTACGACGGTTGCAGGGTCCCCCGGGGGGAGGGGTCACGTGATCCCTTTTTGTGACCTTCTGACAAGCTACGTCAACACGGAAGCCCGATTCACTTAACAACTGTGTTGCTAACTTAACAGCTGCAAGTGATTCAATTAACAGCAGTGGCAGGGAAGGTCGTAAAAATGGGGTAAAATTCAATTAAGAAATGTCTCACTTAGCAACAGAAATGTCGGGCTCATCTGCAGTCAGATACGGGAGATAAACATGCTTTAAAAATTTATGTATTAATGGTTAATTAAAACGTGGTGTTTATGTTTTAAAATTTTAAAAGTTGGTGGGAGGAACAATGGAGGGGGAAAATGTAGAAATTTAACTATTGAATATTTAAGGTTTACTTTTTGTTATAAGATTTCAAAATATCTGAATTTTGAGAAAAATAGGAGGGGGAAAAATGTTTATGTAAATGAATTGAATACCTTATTTATATATTAAGAGATTTTTTAAGGTTTGAATGCTTTATATTTGTTAATGGTTTTAAAACTCTTATAGTTATTGGATTATATGCTATTTTGAGTCTATAAAAAGGGAGATTGATGAAATTGTAAAAGGGGAGTTAAGGGGTCTTGGGAGCTATTAAATCTTGCAGTTAGCTAGTTTATTTTAGCGAATGTTTGGTGAAATCTATGCCCTGTTTTTGTTCTGGGAAGTCGGGGGTGGGGGGTGGTGAGGAGGGGTTGAAGATAGAGTTTAGAGATGGATTATGGATCTAAAATTTTTTTTTCTTGATGATAGTTCGAATGATTGTTTATATTGTATACTTGTTTGATCATAAAATAAAAACTTTTTAATAAAAAAAAAGTCTCACTTAGCAACAGAAATATCGGGCTCATCTGCAGTCATATACGGGAGATAAGCATGCTTTAAAAATTACTGTATATGCTGTACTTGCAGATAAGCCTATCCACAGATGTAGTCGATCACAATTTTGGAGGTAACTTTTTAGCACCTAAAATTCTTGGCTTATCTTTGAGTATATTTTTTTAATTTATTTTTTTATTTTTATTTTTATTTTTTGGATTTATATACCGCCCTACTCCCGAAGGACTCAGGGCGGTGAACAGCCAAAAAGATAAAACACACAAACTGCAAAATTTAAAAGACAATATAAAAACCCATTAAATAATTTGGCCCAAAAACAAATTAAAACACCCCTAATGTTTTAAAACAATTTAAAATTTAAAATTTACAATTAAAAAGGGAAGTTAGGCCAGGCCAGCCTGTTGAAATAAAAAGGTCTTGAGGGCACGGCGGAAGGTGCGTAAATCCGGGATCCTCCGTATCTCCATATACAGTAGTGGCCAAAATTGTGGAAACCTTTTGGGGAAAGTGTATTTTCTAAAACTAACTAATAACACCACTTTTTTTTTTTTTTTGGAGTAGTACCATAAAATTATATATCAATGGAAAGATAATTGAATCAAGAACGTAATGCAATAACTTTTATGAAGGATTTGCTATTAGAATAGCAGTTACAGGATAAAGAAGAAAAGTGAAACACGTAGAAAAAACGATATATACAAAAATGATCACCATAGAAAAAACGAGATATGCAAATATTATCCCCATGTCAGTTAATACTTAGTTGGGTCACCTTCAGCATGAATTACAGCCTTACAACGCCTTCCCATGGAGTGAACCAAGCCTTTTAGTTCTGCAGCTGTTATCATGTGAAACCAAGATTGAATGATGGCTTCTATTAATTGGGTTTTATTGCTGGGTCGCTTCTGACTAACCAGTTTCTTTAGTCGGCTCCATAGATTTTCAATTGGGTGAAGGTCTGGGCTATTCCCAGGCCATTCCAGCAATGGAATTAGATTATCTTGAAACTCCCAAAAAAAAAAGTGGTGTTATTAGCGATGAAAACCTCAAAAATACACTTTTCCCAAAAGATTTCCACAATTTTGGCCACTACTGTATGAGGTAGCTTTTTAATATGGATACACAACCATTTCTCTTTTTTTACAAAATGAGGGAATTCTCACGAGAACACCAAACTTCCCCAAGAGTTAGTTAAAGTTAAAATGTTGTTTGCCAACAGTAGAAACTGGGGACAATGAGTCAAATCTCAAAGAGTTGAGGACTCACCTTGAAGGGCTGGGGTTCGAAGGCCGAGGGCTTCCAGAGGACCCCAATAACGTCTCCTCCGTATTTGTCGTAGAAGAACAGGGCGAAGTCACTGAAGGCTTCCTGCAATGAGAAAGGCTCCATTAAAGGAACTGCCAACATCTGCAAGTCTACTCCAGCTTCATGATTCCAAGCTCACAACTGCCATCTTGGCACCCACACACACAGAGGGTGACCCTGCCTGAAATTGTTTCAGCTTGCAACAGGGACAAGTGAAGTCTACAGGTGTCTCTTTTAACTCCTAGAATGGAGGTGGTTGGCCATGGTTTCCTTCTAGGGCCTTTGACTCTAAAGGTCAACAACTCTTTGGTTGTTTCCTTGCTGCAGACGTTTTATGACCCAGCTAGGGAACATCATCAGGGCTAGAAGGGAGTGAGGTTGGTTCAGTTTACATACTGTGGCTTGCCCTATGAGCGATGGTGGAAGTTGGAAGTTGGTAGTAAATTGGTATTCCTTAATTAGGGTGTTGGATGGAGGGGGGAGAGAGAGATGAGAGAGAGGGGGAGGAAGAGGAGGAAGAAGAAGGAAGAAGAGGAGGAGGAGGAGGGGAAGGAAGGAAGGAAGGAAGGAAGGAAGGAAGGAAGGAAGGAAGGAAGGAAGGAAGGAAGGGGAAAAGGAGGAGGAGGAGAAGAAGAGGAGGAGGATATTTGCAATCAGGGTTGAATTGTGGGCTCCTTGATGCTCCCTGAACTTGGTAGTTTTCTTGTCGATGTTTCATGACCCAACTAGCTAACATCATCAGTGCTAGGAGATGGGGCTTGTGGAGGACAAGGAGGAGGAGGTCGACAACAACAACAACAACAACAACAACAACAACAACAACTTTAGGGTCCTTGGTGCTCTCTAAGCTTTCTGAGTTGGTGATTTCCTTGCAGACATTTCATGACCCAACTAGGTAACATCATCAGTTCTACAAAGAAGGAGAGTTGGCTTTCTATTTATATACAGTGGCTTGCTCTGTCTGTTCTGTCCCTGTACCACACACGCACCCCCACAGACGGCCCGGAGTTAATAAGCCACATGACAAAATCTTTGAAGATAAAGCTGGCAGCAACCCAGTGGCTAGCTGCCAATTCAGACTTTACTCGCACAAAACAAAGATTAGACTGCAAGCATTCCGATAAAGCAGGCAGAGTTTCAACAATACAAGGATTAGTCCAAATGCAGTCCGACAAGGCAGGCAGAAGTCCAGTAACGCAGAGATCATGGAGTATTTCCAGTTTTTGCTCGTCACAAATTGAACCGGCCACCACACCCACATTTATACCCTGTGGGGTGTGGTCCAGTGACTCAGCTAATCTCTGGCACGCCTTCCCCTCTGCTGCGCACGCTTCTCCCTGCGCCTCTGCCGACGGTCCAGCCAGCACTTATCTCCTTCGTCACTGTCCACCTGTGGCTGCGGGGACGTGCTTGGCTCT